CTTGTTACTGCGTACTGTATCTTTGTTTTTCCGGGTCTGAGTGGTGCCACATCCATCTTGTGTGTGAGCTCCACCTGCTGGTTGATCCTTGTTACTGCGTACTGTATCTTTGTTTTTCCAGGTCTGAGTGGTCCCACATCCATCTTGTGTGTGAGCTCCACCTGCTGGTTGGTTCTTGTTACTGTGGACTGTATCTTTTTCTCCTTTTAGTTTTTGTTGCTGACTATTTCACCACAGATTCTGTCTGAGTGGTGTTACTCTGAGTGCCACCTTCTGGTTCGTTCTTGTTAGTCTGGGCTGTATCTCTTTCTGTTCTTGGTTGGGTTTTGTTTCTGGTTGTGCCTTTCTGTGTTCACTGACTCTAAATGGTGCCACATCTTTCTGAGAACAAGGTCTTGAATTTGTTCCATGCCACCATGGCTTTTCGTTTAGGACAGATGTGTCTGGAAGCCATGGCTACAGAGGAGGCCAGGAGACATCCTGAGCCTCGGTTTGGGTGGGCATGGCTCAGGGAGCTGAGGAATCCACCCATCTGGGACCAAGGCCTTGAATTGGTTGCAGTTAGGAATAGACTTATCTGGGAACTGTTGCTATGGCAGGGCCGGGAGAGGAACTGAGTCTCCATTTGTGGTGGGAGTAGGCTCAGGGGAGCAGAGAGATGCCCACCAATCTGGTTCTTTTCTTGTATGTGTGGACTGCTTTCTGGTTGTTTCTCATTTCTTCATGATAGAAATGGTTGGACTTGTGTTTTGGGTGTGTCACGGAGAGGTCTTTTTCATGAGTACCCTTTTCTGGTTGTTTCTTGATTCAATAGAGAGGGAAGGTTTTTTGTGGTTTTGTGTGTTGTGCTTTTGTTTCTTGTTACAAGGTGACCTTAACAAAGTAACTTGGATGAATGACTTTGATAAAATCACTTTGACATTGATGGACGAATTAGCATGAGACAGGCTAGGTCTACCATATTCTACAGGTTCCCTTTACCATAGAAGAGGCCAGAAATCTGATTCCTGGCCCCATGAAGGAGCCCAACAGTATCCAAGCAGATATTGATGCTTGCTTCCCCCTAACTCACACAGATTGGCACTTCAACATCACTGCCTGGCCATCACTTTTTTTTTTTAATTTTTATTTTTTAATGGATGTTTTATTTACATTTCAGATGTTATCCCCTTACCCCATTTCTCCCACCCCCCAGCCCAGGAACCCCCTATCCCATCCTCCCTCCTCCTGCTTCTATGAAGATGTGCCACCACCTACTCCCCCCTTCCACCTCCCCAACCTCGAATTCCCCCACACTCGGAGTTCAGCCTTCATGGGACCAAGGATCTCCTCTCCCACCTATGCCCGACAAGATCATCCTCCCCTACATATACAGCTGGAGCCGTGGGTCCCTCCCTATGTGCTCCCAGGCTGGTGGTTCAGACTCTGGGAGCTCCAGTTTGTTGGTATTGTTGCTCTCCTCATGGGCCCACACACCCTTTCGGCTCCTTCAGTCTTCTATCTAACTCCTCCATCGGGAACCCCTTGATCAGTTCAATGGTTAGCTGTGAGCATCCGCCTCTGGATATGTCAGACTCTGGAAGACCTCTAAGAAGACAGCAATATCAGGTTCCTGTCAGCATGCACTTCCTGGCATCCACATCAGCATCTACCTTTGGTGACTGCACATGGGATGGATACCCAGGTGGAATGGTCTCCAGATGGCCCCTCCTTCTGTTTCTGTCCCACACTTTGTCTCCATATTTGCTCCCTTGAGTATTTTGTTACTCCTTCTAAGAAGGACCGAAGCACCCCCACTTGGTCTTCATTCTTCATGAGCTTCATGTGGTCTGTGAGTTGAATCTTGGGTATTTCAAGCTGCTAGGCTAATATCCAATTATCAGTGAGTGAATATCATGTGTGTTCTTTTGTGATTGGGCTACCTCACTCAGGATGATATTTTCTAGTTCCATCCATTTACCTAAGAATTTCTTGAACACATTGTTTTTAATAGCTGAGTAATACTCCACTGTGTAAATGTACCACATTTTTTGTATCCAGTCCTCAGCTGAAGGACATCTGGGTTCTTTCCAGCTTCTGGCTATTATAAATAAGGCTGCTATGAACATAATGGAGCATATGTCCTTGTTATATGTTGGAGCATCTTCTGGGTATATGACCAGGAGTGGTATAGCTGGGTCCTCAATGTGCCTTATGAATATCAATACAAAAATACTCAATAAAGTTCTCACAAATTGAATCCAAGAACACATCGAAACAATCATGTAGGAAGAGCTAAGGTGGGAGGAGTAAGGAGAGGAAGAGCAGGAGTTGGGAGAGGAAGAGAAAAAAGGAAGAAGAGGAGCTAGAGAGGGCAGAGAAGTAGTAGGATGGAGAACCACACAGGTATGGAGAGCACTCGTGGGGAACAATTTATAAACTTATAATTACGTTAGCTAATTGGGATACGACTCTCTTTGTATGGGCATCTTGTTATTAATCATTATCAAACATATAAAGCCTTTGATTAATTTATAAGAATTAGAGTCCCATTCTCTTACTGGGCCTGCATGGATGGCGGAATAGTCTGGGCAATGCCCTGCCTTGCAGAGACAGCGTGGAAGATTGGCAGAGCCATCTCTCACGCTGGCAACTAGTGAGTGGCAGGGCTGGTGTTTCTGGCGGGCTGGTTCTAGCTGCAGCTCGCACATGGTCTCAGGCCAAGAAACATGGCAGCTGGGCTAGGCAGAGCCGCTGCAGCTAGATAGTCGGATGAACCAGAGGCCAGTTTTAAATAATGACCACATCACAACCATCCATCATGTTCAAGTAGGCTTTATCCCAGGAATGCAGGGATGGTTCAATAGTAGGAAATCTGTCAATGTAATCCACTATATAAACAAACTCAAAGGAAAAAAAAAAACTAATAATCATCTTGCTAGATGCTGAGAAAACATTTAACAAAATTCAACATCCCTTCATGGTAAAATTCTTAGAAAGATCAGGAATTCAAGGCCCATTCCTAATCATAGTAAAAGCAAGATACAGCAAACCAGTAGTCAACATCAAACAAAATGGAGAGAAACTTGAAGCATTCCCACTAAGGTCAGGGACTAGACAATAGTCACTTTTACAATACACACATTAGAAAGTCAAATGTTCTGTCACCTCTGGAAGTAAGTCTGGTTAAGGCATCTTCAGTTGAGATACCAGTGTCCAGAAACTGTGAAAGATGTGATTCCAGTCTTTGAAGGACTCTGATCTGAGGCAGGGGTTCCTTCCACCAAGGTCTTAAAAGAACCTGATAAGAAGTCACTGATACTAATAGTAGCAATAAGTCTAAAGGAGGAAACAAAAATCAAAGCCAATTGATTGATTTATCCTGAGGGATGAGAAGCATTGGAGCCAGCCATACAGGGGAACTGAGAATGGCAAGGCTGATTGAATCACTGTGGTTATTTCTGTGTCCTCTAGACTATAAGTCTAAGACACAGAGAACTGGGGAGATGAGAAATGTAGGCAGAGTTTCCACTTCATTTTTCATAAGGGCAGTAATAATAAACCCTAACCTTTGATATCTCTTGAATATAGGCTCCAGTCCTTAGGAAACAGCAAAATCTCTCCCTTTTCAAGACCAGCAGAGTAAGCATGGCAGTTTCAAGTCTGAAGAGGACAGAAATCACCTGTAGAGGATGCAGACCATGAGGTATTGATAAATTGAATCCTGCCAATTAAAGTGATTGAATTAAGAAGCATCTAGGATATTTTTCAACCACACCCTTAAGTGACTCTGGAAATGAATTTCTAAGGAGGATTTCCTGGGAGGGAAGTACAACACCACCAACCAAATTGGGAAGAGTCAAAACAAGGTCTGTGGGACTAAATGGAAAAATACATAAGAACGAAGAAAGCCACCTTTAGAGGTCTGAGGCTCTCCCTCCTGCCCACCATATAGGAGTTCTTCCACATGCCCTCCATTTTGTGAATACTCAGATTTCTGACAAGTTAAGGTAAATATCCCTTCCCTGATCATGTTTATGACAGGAGTCAGTGTAAGTCCAGCACAAGGTAAAAAAATAGATGTGCAGAGATTGACATGATCCCTTCATTTATGGATGATTGACTGCAATATGCAATTGCACCGGTGCCGGCTATTCTTCTTGTCTATGTTACCTGTGGACTTAAGTAACATACAAAACTGGAGGGCTCGACTTTTAAAATTTTTTGCATAAATTGAAGTAGATAGATCCCATTCAAATAGAGAAAAACACACACCTTTAATCTGACTCTTGAGGCAGCAAACACACACCTTTAATCCAGATCTTGAGACTAGAAGACACACCCTTAACTGGGCCACACCTTCTGCTGGAGGCCTATATAAGCACACAGATGAAGGAAGATTGATGTCTATGACTGCTCCCTCTCATCTTCCTAGCAAGGCCATTTCTTCACTGACATTAGGCCCTAATTCTTCAGAATTCCAGTATATACTGAAGAGCATTGGAGACTTCAAACCTCATGGACTAAGTAAGTACTGGTTCTAGCCTTGTTATATTAGATGGACCTCAGCCTGTATGTTATTTTCATTTATCCTCTTTCTATTTATATAGAGGAATTCATTTTGTAGGTTCTCTACAGGACCCTGACTAATACAGCACACTTAAAATAAGACTGTATAAAAATTCCCAAATTCTTCCAAAGTTGAATAGAATAGCCAAGACAAGTTATCATTGACCTAAGATTCAATAATCAAACACTCACACACTCACACTCATATCATACACACACTCATACACACATAAACACAGAGAGAGACTGGGAGAAAGACAGAGGGGGAGAGGGAGGGAGGGAGGGAAGGAGGGAGGGAGGGGAGAGAGAGGGACAGAGAGAGAGAGAGAGAGAGAGAGAGAGAGAGAGAGAGAGAGATCTAAAGTGTATCTATAATTGTATCCAAGAGGATCAAGAGTAAATAACGTGTAGTTCTTCTTTTCAGATCAACTTTAACACCCAAACTACCTCCAGCAGAAATGTCAGGGGACCTGGAAGCCAAGAACTGGGGCTATACACAGATCAGTGTTCAGAAATTCTGCTGTGAGTGGACCATTAGCAACTTTTCATTTTGCATGGGGGGAAGTAGGAAAGAGATTACAAGCCCACTATTCTCATTAGAGGCAAATGAGGAAGTGGCATGGTGTTTGAGAGTACACCCAAATGGGGTTGATGAAGAAAGCAAAGATTACCTGTCAGTTTTCCTGGAGTTGCTCAGCCACCCAGAGAGCCCAGTTTGGGCAAAGTATGAGTTCTGGATCATAAATTGCCAAGGAGAGAAATTTCAACGTATGAAGAGCCCCAATGTCAAAAGCTTTCTGCAAAACGAAAAGAGGGGATTCAAAAAGTTTATCCTTCGAGATCCACTCCTCTCCAATCCGCATTGGCTTCTCCCTAAAGACCAGCTCACCCTCTGCTGCAAGGTGAGCATAGTTGGAGGTTTCTACAGTATGCCTGGACAGAACATGAAACCTGAAATCAAGGATTCGAGGCACAGGTGGACAGATGACCTAGGGGAGCTGTGGAAGAATTCCCTCTTCTCAGACTGCTGCCTGTTGGTAGATGGCCATGAATTCAGGGCTCACAAGGCCATCCTAGCAGCTCGCTCTCCAGTTTTCAGAGCCATGTTTGAACATGAAATGAAGGAGAAGCTAACAAACCGCATTGAGATCCATGACCTGGATCCCCAAGTCTTCAAGGAGATGATGGGCTTCATTTACACTGGGAAGATGCCACACTTCCACAGCCACTCCATGGCCACTGGTGTGCTGGCAGCTGCTGACAAGTATGGCCTGGAGGACTTGATGGCCATGTGTGAGGATGCCCTCTGCAGGAACTTCTCTGTGGAGAATGCAGCATACACTCTCATCCTGGCTGACCTCCACAGCAGAAACCACCTGAAGACTCAGGCCCTGGATTTCATTTCACTTCATGCTTCTGAGGTCTCTGAGACCTCAGGGTGGAAGTCAATGGTGAAGTCACATCCCCACTTGGTGGCTGAAGCGTTCCACTTCCTGGCTTCTGCACAGTGTCCTTTCTTGGAGGCTAAAGTCCACACAGGAACTAGCCAGCTATGATCTACATCTCTCTTCCAACAGCAACAACCAGTGAGGTTAACAACGACTTCTGATTGGAGAATGGTATTTTGGGAGCATTTATACTGAATCTGGGGAAGGCAGCATGGTAGCTCAGGGTTTGAAACAGCTGTAATATGTGAGAATGACTGGTGGGGGAAGGGCAGCACTGCTGTTTGGGATATTCTACCTGACATCTACCCTGTTAATGTTCTTGCTTGGTTTTTGTCTGATGTCTTGGAAAACTGGGATTTAATTTAGGTGCTGGCCCTAAGCACAGCCCAACTGAGTTTCTCCAGAGAAACCTGTCTGCATTGGACTGAGCAGAAGAGAAGACCGGGGCCAGAGGAAAGGAGAAATCAAACATGAGTGTTTACTCATCCGAGAAGGATAGACAATGAAGATTTTCTTTTTTAAGACTCAGTTTGTGGGACCACAGCTGCAAAACAGTTACTACTCTCTCAGAGAATTCTGTTTAAGTAACAAGCACACACATTGAGTTTCAACCACCTGTAAGTGGTGATTCAGAGGATCTGAGGCCCTCTTCTGGTCCCTGTGGCCAAAAACAACTCTGTAAATAAAACCTTAACCAAATAAAATATTATACGAATGAAACTTTTCCAATCAGTCTGATTTCCAGAGATGTTTTTGTTCAGAGTAGCCACGTGTAGTCCAATCAGCCATGCTCAGCTGTGGATGTTTGTGCAGACCCCTCACTGTCCTACCAGTAGTAGAAACCCTTGGTTTCTTTCTTGGAATTTAATGTTGGCAGATGACAACCATCATTCTCAATGGACCCAGATCATCTATCATCATGTCATCATCACCATTATGACAACCGAGAAGAGTAGGCTAAAGTGGGGTAGGGAGGTCCTACACCTTCTGGGACAGAAGTGTTTGTGGGTCAAGGCATGCAAAAAATCTTTTATGTGTTTTGAAAATATTAGTAGGGATTGATTCTTTATGGATTCGTACTCCCAAGGCCGGTGGTTGTATTACTTCCTAATGCTGTGCCTCCTTAATACAGTTCTCCATGTTGTTCTCCATGAGCTGTTAAATTACTTCATAACTGTAATGTTGCTACTGTTATGAATCATACTGTAAATAGCTGATATTCTTCCCATATCCTGTGGATCCCACAGATCCTAACCTTGTAACCTCCCCCACCCCACTCTTTGATCTGTCACAGCCTTCAAGACAGACCTGTACCTTCCCTAACACCTAACACAAGTGTCACTCCTTCCATGGTAACAGAAGGCTAAAGGCAGATCCAGGCCTCTCTCTTTGCTCCCCCACTTACTATTTCCCCATTCTCATTCCCAGCTCTATAGCAGGAAGTCTGCTGTGCTTTTTCCTGTTTGTTTCCTGTAATGCACCAACACCAATGGATCACAGAAACTTCTCCCCCAAAATTCCTTACCCCAACTCAGCCCATCACCCAGCCTCCATCCCCAGCAGGCATTGCTTTCCGCCTGCCTACATCTGCTGTGAGCCCCACACACAATTCATTCTTAAGCTCCTTCCCCCCTAACTCCTTGCTGAATTTGAGCCCCTAACTCCAGCATGTACTCACTGATAACCATGGACAAATCCTGACAGGGAAGAATAGAAACTTCCTGTAGGTCTGCCCCCCCCTTCAGTTTTTGGAGAACCACAACTACCAGTCTAGTCCTCAATTCTATTGCGTGACCTTTTGTGTGACCTCTTTTCACTGTCTCCCCGAATTCCAAGGAGACCAAATAAGCAGATTCTGGTGCAGAATCTCCTCCCTCCTGTGAACCCCATCATACTTCTAACCTATCCCCATTCCTATGTGTCATCTCCCTATACCCAGAAACCTTGAACCCCCAGTGGCCA